TACCAATTCCATTCTTTGATTTCAAAGTGTGCTCAAGACAAAGATCATAGGTCCATTTTCACCCAAGTAACTTAATTTTCACTCTTTCTTAAATCTCGCCATCCCTATCTCAGTCTAAAAACCCGATCCCCTCTCCATTTTCTTCCCATTCTCTCTAAAACCCCTCACGATCAAAGCCATCTTACATCTCCCCTTTCGTTTATAATATGAGATTCTGAGGTAAAAACGTTTTCGATTTTGTCACGTTTTTTAATCGAAGCTTGGAAGGAAAGAAAATCACCTGGATCGATGTTCTTGGTGTGAACATTGAATTACTGGTGTTTTACTTATTCAAAGAATTATAGATACAAAATGAAATTTTATAAAATTAAATTGTTTTTTAGTCTGTTTGAGCATTGAATTATTGGTGTTTTACTTCTTTAGAGCATTGTAGATACGAAATGAAATTTTGTAAAATTCAATTTCTGATCGTTTGCAAACTATAGCTCATACGAACAAATTTTTTATAGTTTAAAAAGAGAGGATACTGTTTGTTATCATGACAACATCCCCACTAAATACGATCATGATTTTCACCCTATATAAACTTCATCTAGTTAATTTGGTAATACATCTTTAAACAGCTTTTATTTTTTATAAGAACCTAATGTTTTATCTTTTTATGTCATGTATTGGAGAAGTTCTCTATGTGTCAATTAGGTTGAATTTTCTTTTACAAATTGCAACATGCACAATTGGAAGTAAGATGTATTCTTGTTATTAATGAATAAAAGCATGTGTGTTGTATGCCATCAGTGTACATGTACCTATGTTGTTATTTCATGGATAAAATGGGCCATTTCTCTAACTAGTATTATTATGTGGTTTTGGAATCTGGTAGGAAATTATTATTTCAAGTATAAAGGAGTGGTTAGCTAGTAATCCTATTGGGAACAATCCAATACCCAATCTTATTGTTTGCACCATATTCATGCAAGAACATAATTACAATGAGGCTCCCAAACACATAAATGCTGGAGGGACTATGGAGCTGTTGAGTTTTACTTTTTCTCTCTCTTTATGTTATTTGTTATTAATTTTATTTCTTTACTAATCCCCATAAAGGATACACATACACTCTACAATCTAATCTTACATCAGTTATATTTTGCAACTTCTAGTTGGACATAGCTGCATAACTAAAAACAATCAAAAAAAATTGTGATAAATAGATCTTGGTTTAACAGAGATTATTGTCCTTTTATTATGTTGCTATTGCATTATGTCCCTTTCAGATATGCCTTGAATGTCACACTTTCCTCAAGATGCACAAATAAGATTTTGTTGAGAAGCAAGTAAGAATTATGCAACAGATTGATGAGGATCACACATGGACTCAACTTGCAACTGCATGGCTTAATTTACTTGTGCATGGCTTAATTTAGCTCTATCTTATTTAGAGTTTATATATTTTCCTCTATCATCAGGCACCACGAGAATTAAATCAGTTCCAGGTGGCAAGGTAAACATCTTTTCTTTTTAATATAGCGAGAGTGACATTTCTTTTTTGCTATATTATTATTAAGTTGGGTTATAAACTTATGTTACATTATTGAGAGGTTTGAATGAATGTTGTAGTAATACATGTTGAGAGGAGAGTTCTGACTTTCAAGTATTACAACTGAAGACTCAGTACCTGAGAGAAAAGCTCTTATTAGCATCAAGTTTGAAATACCTTATTTTTACAGTTTCAAGAATACAGGTAACCCATTGTGCATTTTATTTTGGATCATCATCATATTTTATTAAAGTGAAGATGTTTTTGGTTGTTGGACCTTGTTCACCAAGGTAAAAGTAACAGGGCAATAAGAAGTGTAGAAGAAAACGGGATAAACAGGGGAATGAACCAAAGATAAAACTACTTATTAAAAACTTGATCCTGAATGAAATTACAATGTAATGCAGGTAGGTTAATAATAGCATCATTTGTGATTCCATTCAATCATTACAAACAAGTGAAAAATCTCCTTGTGTTCAATCTTGATATATGATTCTCCTTTATATAAGAAGTAAATAATCATAAATCAAAATCATTTATGCAATGATTATTGTTACATGGAACCTTTGTTATGGTGTAAAAGAAGAAGTTGTACAATCTCCTGCCCATGCCCATTCCATTATTACAGAATGAGAAGGTAATAACCAATAGTTCATTGGACTTTTAGAAATATTGAATTAGGGAGGAAAAATGAAAAAAAAAATGTTTGTTTTGTGCGATGGAATCGACACTTCCATTCTCGAAGGAATGAGATTCCATCCACTTATTAATGTTCATTTTTCACCAATGAGTTGTTCTTTTTCCTTTCCATTATGTATTAATAACCAACAATGAAAACATAATTAAGTTGTCAAGGTCATAACGTGTGGCCTTCAAATTTCAATGATATATGAAGTTATGTAATGGAATGGACCTAAAGCTCAAGATTTTGCATACCTGTTCTTGGAGGGTTGATATGTACTCGACCATCATTAACCAGAGTGTCTATTCGTTTATGGACTTAAAAAACAACCTTTTATGACCTTTTTCCTCAACTCTGAGATGAAGCTTAACTATTATAACTACACACACAATATCTAGCAGCATTTGTGCCTAATCTCCACGACAATACTAACAGAGCTCATATTCAATGTAACCAAACAAATTCACTACTAATCTAAACACAAACCAGTAATCCTATCCTACCATGTACCACAGTGGTAGATATTCAAAATCTTTTTATTATTTTCTTCATTTTGTAAGCTGTGTATCCAAAAGATGATGGCAAGACTAATGGAAACTTAGAACTATACAATCTTATAACTTTCTACTCTATGTGGTGTGAGTATCAAATTTTGACATTTTCTTTTGTTTTCTCAATAAAGTTCAAAGCGGAAGACAAACAGCTTGTGAAAGATCAAAATCTTCATAAGAACTCAATCTCTGATGAAGAAAGGAAAAGAAGACAAGCTGAAACTACAAACAACTTTTAATGGGCAGGAGAGAGATATCAAGGTATGATCTATATTGTAATTCAGATTCTATCACTTTTATTATGTAAGCTTTTGATAAATTGTTAGCATCTCTTGATTTCACAGGACCTGAAACAAACTCTTACAATCACAAAAGTTGGGATGCAGTTCATGCAAATGAAATTCCATGAGGAGTTAAGAATCTTTGTAGATTTTTCAACAATTTCCTCTCTCACTTTTCCATTCTATCATCATTCTAAAATCTTGTTCTTTTTATGTCTGCACATTCATGGTCTAGATAACGTTGCTTCTGGGTATCATAAAGTTCTTGACAAAAACTGAAAGGTATATAATCATGTCCAAGATCTTGTTGTTTTAGGTCTGCACATTCATGGTGTAGCTAGTGTTGACCTAGTTTTCATTTAACTAATCTAGTTGATTTATTTTATTTAAATAGGAAATATTAGAGTTTATTATCGGGTGAGACCCTCCTTAGCAGGATGATCAGATTTCAAGAGTGTTGTGGATAGCAGTGGTCTTCTGGAACCACATTACATGAACTTGCCATTCTTCCAACGAAAAGACCTGAGCTTTTGTCTCGTGGTAATATACTCGTGGTCTGTATTTTTTATTTTATTTTATCTGAGTAGTCTATTCTGTTTTATCTCGTGGAAATCTACTTAGGGTATGATTTATCAAGGTAGTCTCCCTTAGTCCCTTTGTTGGTGGTAATTGGGACAAAAGCTATGAAGTAAAATGTTAGCATGTAGCAATCAAGCAAAGCTTTTGCAATTTATTGGTATAGACTATAGACATGTGTATAATGTGAATCGATGACATGAATTCTAAAGCAATCAATCAAGTGAAATTTATGCATCTCCTGAGATGGTTTATCCATTTACACTAGCTGTTTGGACCTTTTCTAGTAATTCTCTAAAATCTTAATACCCATTATTCATTATGCTTACAGAGATCTTGGGAGCCAATTGATAAAGCTGATCTTCACAAGACAAAGATCAATAAATAGTTAGCGACAATTGTAGACTATCACTTTGTCTACAAAGATGTTGAAGCATCATCGACTCAATGGGATGATATTCAAAGAAAACTCGGGAACTTACCTCCCAAACCCCCTGCCTTCAAACCCGATCCTTTCACTGCTGCAGAAGATGAAGATTCCAAACTTGAAACCAAATATTCGATCGATAACAAGACAGAAGAAGAACTCGAAGACTTAGAAGATGATCTTGATGACAATCGTTTCCTTGAAGAATACAGGTACTTTCAAATGCCTCAATCCTAATCTCATTTTATGAGGACATTAAACTTCATGTGATATTTTCATGGTTTCATTTTATTTTATGTTGAAGGAGAAAGAGGTTAGCAGAGATGAAGCAAACAGTAAAAGTTGCAAAGTTTAGGTCAGTCATTCCTATTTTAGGATCCGATTTTGTGTGTGAGGTATCACAAGCTCCATCTGATGTGTGGGTAATCACTAATTCACTACTATCTTGTTTGTTATTGATTAGCAATTCATTTTGATTATATGGTTGTTAATGGGAACTTTTGATTGAATTGGTACCCAGAGTGTGGAGTTCTAATGCAGTGTGTGGAAGAACTGACAACAATGTATTCAACTACCAAATTTGTCAAGTTTATATCAACTGATTGCATTCCTAATTATCCAGATTATAATCTTCCCACCGTGTTGTTGTTGTAGTGAAGGCAAATTATGTTGGGTTGCATACTTTTGGTAAGAGATGCACTCCAGAAGGTGTTGCTATGATTTTATGCCAATCAGATCATGTTCTTAATGATGGACTCAATGGTGAAGCTTCTAAAGAAGCTGTTCTTGAAGGAGTGAGGAAAAGATTTATAGAGAAAGTGGTTACATTGCATGAAAATGATGATCATGGGTCTTCAAGTGATTAACTTTGTGTTGTTTTCTTAATGTTTTATGTTAAAGTATAATAGGTTTTGTTTAGTAACATGATCTGATATTTTATCCCCTTTTAGATCTGTTTGTCTGTTTGTCTTTCTTTTGCTTTGTCTATGTTGTTATGCAACTGCTCTTTCAATTTTTCTTGCCAGCCTTAAAAAGGAATATTGCTTTTTGGGCCTCCTTAGGAAAACACTTGTTGCCAAAGCACTTGCAAATGAAGCAGGAACTAACTTCATCAGCTAAGGTAGTCTACTTACATTTATCCACTCCCCACCCATATATATTTTTTTCATAGTTCTCTAGTGATATTTTCCTTGTGTCATAGAATGATTGGCTCGTATCTTGTTTTTTGACATTTATACATAATTTTTTTTCATGAACGAAAAACATTTTAATCTTATATAATTTACATGTGTTTTAAATTTTAATATTTTATACAGGTATGGGCTGTATTGAAGCCTGGATTCTTGGCAAAAGGTATTTTACTACATGTATATTAAACTTTAATATTTTATAACATAGATTGATTATACCTGAAGTCTTTCTGAATACTAATGTGTTGATGATGAAAATAGGTATAATGTGGAAACATGTAACACCTCGATTATCAGGTATTGAGTTATGTTGAATCTTTTTGGTATTTGGGTCTACTCGAAGAGTATGTTGCACTACTCATTGAGTAGCAGCGGGTTGGTCCACGTGTTTTAGTAACCTACTCGCCGAGTCCAAGAAGGGACTCGACGAGTAGGAGCTGGTAGATGAAACCCTAAATTCCGGGGTTTTTCACTCTATTTAAAGAATCATATGCCTCATTTGGCCTATTTACAGCCCCTTGAGAGTCCAGAAAATGCTAATCCATGTGGTAGTTCATTCTTGTGTCTTTTAAGCTTTGGAAAGTGAATCCTTGGAAAGAAGAGCTTGGAGGGCAAGAGGCTAGAAGCAAGGAAAGTGTGGGGAATCAGAAATCTACCTTTCTAAGCATCATTTAAAGGTTTCAAGTCGCCACCTTTACCTCATTTCCTTGTATACCTCTTTTGTGTAAGATTTAGGGTTATTTTGGCTTGGGTATGATGATATTGTGGTGTATGAGCTAGATCTAAAGTTGTAACTTCAAATCTGGAACTTTCTTAGGTTTTAAGCCTAAAGATCGAGTTTGGTCATGTATGAAGCCTCCCTAGTGTGTAAAAGCCCCTTTGTATGCTTGGATTTGTCATTTAGAGCCTTTTTAGCAATGCATGCATGTAAAGTTTGCAACTTTACGTGATAAGAAAGCCTAGGGAAGGTTGATCTGCAGTTTGGGGCCTTGGCATGACTTAAAAAGTGTCTGCATGGTTAAGGGGCTGAAGGGACTCGGCGAGTCATATGAAGATGGAAATCGAACTCGACGGGTTGGTTGAACAACTCGACGAGTCCGATAAAGATTGTCGTAGACTCAACGAGTTGGATGAACAACTGGACGAGTCGGTTAAGGTTTTCGCAATTGCTAGATGTGTGTGAACTTGTCGAGTTGCAAGGAGGAAAAGCCCGACGAGTGGCCTTAGAGCTTCGATCGCGAACCTTAGGAACTCGACGAGTCACTCCGGTGACTCAGCGAGTGGACTAGTAGTCAAGGAACTCGACGAGTAGTCGAGGATACTCGGCGAGTCAAGGTCAACACGGACTGTTGACTTTGACCAGGGGTTGACTAGTTGACTTATGGGATACCTTGAAAGGTTGGGAACTTACAAGAATGGTTATATTATGATAATAAATGGTGGAGTTTGTGGTAGTCATCCGAGAGTTGGAGTTTATCCACTGAGTCAACATTTGCGAGGTGAGTTATCCTCACTATACTAATGGGTCTAAGGCACCAAGGCCGGCCCATTGGATATGTGATCCTAATAGTGTTAGATGTTGTATGTGAGTTAGCATTGCATGCTAGTGGTTATGCTAGTTAGGTAGGCCTGTAGGACTACCTGTGTTATTATTTATTATTTGCATGCTCAGTAGTTATATCATTATATGTTGATATGTTATGTGGGATGGATTGAGGTGAGATAGCTTAGTGCGGTAATACAACAAAGCTAGGAGCATTCCAATTATGGGCTAAGGGAGACTCGTACTGTGAGCTCGATGGCAAGCCAGATGTGAGCTATGGGTCGGAAGCAATCTAGAATCACAATGTGGGCAAGGGGGTAATCCAGTTTGTTAAGTTGTGGAACCATTACATGTTGTTCTGTTTCTTATGTTATGATGTTGTTGATATGGTTATGTGGATTGTATGGGTATCCATATTTTAGGGGAACTCACTAAGATTTCGGGCTTATAGTTTCAATTATTATTTCAGGTACATCAGGTGATCGTGGCAAGGCAAATGCGTGATTCTATCGCTTCTTGTTTTGATGATTTTGATTCTGGGATACTCTGATATATAAATATTTTGGAAACATGTTTTGTAATAACTATTGAATTTGGAAAGCATTTTTAAAATTTAAAATTGGCTTGCTTTTTTTTATGGGTGTTACTAGTTGGTATCAGAGCCTTGGTTTGAGTGAATTGGAGGAATACTTGTGTTAGTCCAGTCTCAAATCAAGGGATGGTTTGCAAAATCATTTGTAAAATTGTTTTCAAAATAAGTACAGGAGGAGGCAGTGCGTACGATTAGCCAGAGCTAGTAAGTAGACCCCAAAATACCATACAGTTATTTGATTATGTGGTATGTTAGAACAGCATGCTATCACTAGGCTAGGGATCTTCAGGAATTACATGATAGAATTTCCTGATTATATGATGCCTGCTATCCTTGGGTTTTTTATATGAGATTGACATCATTATTGTAGTTACTTGTGTATGCATCACGACTGTATATAATCAAGATCTTATAGCCTAAGAATGTTTAATTCGACCTTAGGGTAGGACCGGATATTTGAAAGTCTATAGGGTCCAATGTTATGTACGGCTATCATACACTAGCACTGCATGGTTGATGGAAGTTTCATTGATGGTAGGTAGTGAGAGGCCGTGAGGCCATTTGTGCGATAGTTTAGCATTTCTTTAGGAATGAGGGTTAGGCGCTAGCTATGATATGTATGTTGTCACCGTGTTTTGGTGATACTTGAGACAAATATGGGTAGGTGTGGAAGGTAGTATGGGCCCGTACTACTGAAAGCATAGGACCCATACGCGTAGCAAGGAAGTCACAACCCCTAGTGTTGAGTCGGGAGTTGGTCCCCTATTTTTATGCGACCCTATGTTGGTGTGTTTTCTGCATGGTGATGACGAGACATTTTTTTGACTGCATCCGGGTCGGGATCAGAATCAGGGGACAGAGACCAGGGGGTGCCGGTAGCACTTGAGCCTATGGTACAAATGGGGAAGGATCAGCTACACGCCAAGATTTGAGAGGTCCTGCATGATGAGGTTGCCACTTTGTTCTGTGTAACGACCGAAAAATCTAACCAATTTAAATTTCTCAAAAACAACCCGATTTCATTAAATTGTTTACGAAAAGGTTTTCAATACAAATCATTTAGAGTATTCCCAGAATCACATTGCTACAAAATCATGAGGAGCGGTACGATCACGCCTTCACCTTGCCACAGTCTCCTGAAGAACCTGAAAAACATTAAACCACAACTGTAAGCCCGAAAGCTTAGTGAGATACCCCCAAAACAGCCATGCATATCAGGTCTACTGTGGGACTGGTATGCCATGCATTAAACCAACCTCGAATACCATACACATATCACTCTATCTCATAACGAATCACAGAACAACCATGCATATCAGGTCTACTGTGGGACTGGTACGCCTTGCAGGGCCTTCAGTCCAGCTGGTCCAACCTCCGTGTCCAATCATATCCCTCGAGTCTGCAGTGTGGTTGGTCCGCCCGCACTGGGCCTTCAACTCACCTGGTCCACTCTCTGAGTCTACAGTATGACTGGTCCGCCCGCATTGGGCCTTTAGTCAGCCTGGTCCACTCTCCGAGCCTCGGCACGTCTGGTCCGCCCTCGTGGGGCCTACAGCCTATCCAGTCTGCTCGCTGGGCCTTCGGAATAATCGGTCCACCTTGTGTATCTTGGCCTACAGCACAAAGCAGGACCCGCCTCAACCCAACTCCAGTCCAAACAACCATGTGCACATAAGCATACAATCACATAACAATTCATATTCAGGCAAACCGATCTAGCAAATCACATAACACAACATACTCTAACAGGATACCGACCTAACCGGTCACTAGCATAGCATCATCATCTCTACCAGGATACAAACATATGAAAACAATAACATAACAATAGATACCCAGATCTCAATCCGATAGAAGGGCCAACCTTGCTGCCTTAGACCCTGATGATATAGTGAGGATAACTCACCTCGAAACTGCCGGCTGAAAGGATAAGATTTCGCTACCCCGAACTCCGACACGAACTCCTTCACTGAACACCAAAACACTTAACTCAGTATATATACCCTTATCTACCAAAATACCCCTGGAAGACAACTAGTCAACCCTTGGACGAGGTCAAAGTCAACCCCTAACTGACTCTACTCGTCGAGTCAACCCGATGACTCGCCGAGTCACCCCGCGACTCGCCAGGTCCAACCACTCTGAGTCCACCCGCAACCAACTCACCGAGTCATCCCTTGACTCACCGATTCTCGACTCATCCAGAAAATATTGGGACTCTTCGACAAGACTCACCGAGTCCAAGAACAGAATCGCCGAGTCTAAGGCTATCTTCAACCTACTCACCGAGTTGTTCATCTAACTCGTCGAGTTCCAGCTCATCTTCAAGCAACTCGTCGAGTCCACCCTTGTGACTCGCCGAGTACCACCGGTCTGAATCCATACAGAAGCATTCCACGCCATGCAATTGATCCAAAACATAGATCTAGCCTCCTACAACCCATCCATCACGTAAAGTGGAAAACTTTACGTGAATCCATGAAGATCTAGGTATTATACACATTAGGGCTAAAGTTTGGGACAAGATAGCTTCTCAGATCT